CAACTAGATATTCATCACTCCTGTTTAAAATCCCTTTTTACATTTTTTGGTCAATTATTTTTAAAATTATTGAGGAACGACAAATCAATATTCTCCTTTTTAAAGTAGCTGCCCACTCCAATGATCCATATAATTATAAGGCTGATAAATTGGCAAAATCATCCCTCTTTTCTCCTCTCTGAACTTTTCATTAGACCATATCCCCTTCATTAATTATATACCCGTATTTAACAATATGTCTATATATCGTCCCTTACACTCATTTTTAAAAGATTATACTAACACCAGACATTTCTCAGATTACTACCATCTAAAAAGAAATACTAAATATCAACACTTATAAGTTAATTGGATTTTGACCTTTCAAATTATCCAGAATGGAATAGCGTCTTCTACCTCTTTCAATGAAACAAGAAGACATTGCAGAAAACTTAAATTTCTTCTTGAATAATTACCAACAGTCCAGTTCATAAAAGCCACTCAACCACAACTTTATTCACCATCTTGGAAATGCTGCTATTTTAATAACCACAATGAAGACTTTAATCATATATGGCTATGCCCTAATATCAGACAATACACTCGATCCTTAATCGCTAAATCTATTGCTCATCTAAAATTACAATTATTTATCTATACTTCAAAAACTGAATTCACAAATGAAATTGATAATCTTTTAGATCCTTTCCATGCAATATGGTCTATACAAGCATCCCTATACGATTTCTCCTTCATAGATCTTATCAAAGGCATTGTTCCTAATATTTTATTATCATCCTTAATAACATTCACCAAATCACCTTTTCTCACTCTTTCAATTCTTTCTTCTTTTTTTGATTTTGTCTTTAATCAGGCTTATGACAACATATGGAAGATTCAATGCACTTTAACTTTGGACAAAGAAAGATCTTTACATATAACAAAAAAACAACAAAAGAAAGGCAATTTTGCCTCGTCTAACATTAATTTTTCTATCAATAGTTTCTCCAATACTACATTTGCTACTAATACAGACATTTTAGATCACTTTACATTAATCAATAAATCTTACAAACATGGTCAATATTGATCCCTCTTTTTGGACTAGTGATAACCAATTGCTCTGATGGTTTCTTCCTCAGTTTGGTATTGATGATTGTTCAGTAAATCTTTACAATCAGAATCAGACAGGATAACCAGTTGGTCTGATGGGAGCTAAAAAAATTTTTTTTTTAGTAATGAAAATTAGGCAGCAATTTTTATTTTTCTACTTTTGTACCCTTTTGGGATTTTCATGTAAAATTTTTACTGAAATTGTTTTATATAATAAAATATTGCATTACCACGTCTTTAAAAAAAAAAAAAAAATAATTACAAGAAAATAAAATTTAGTTTGTTGGATTTACCTTATTAAGGCCTATTAAATGATTATATTTTCATATTTCTGAGATCAATAGATAGCAAGATATATAAGTTTGAAATTTTAACTTTTTTTCATAATAATTTATTATATATTTATCTTTAAAATATCACTAACTAATTACATATTTTTTTGAATTTTTACTTAGAAAATATCATAAAATTTATTATAAAAATATTAATTTTTAAATTATTTTAAAAATATTTAAAATTATTATAAATAATTTTAATTATTAAATAAAATTGCAGGCAAATTTGCCTGCAAAACGCTTAAAGGGATAATATATTTAACTGTATTAATATTATAAAAATGATTATATATAATTGCTAATTCTTGATTGATATTATAATTTAATAAATATTTTTATATTTGTAAAACAAATTGTAAAAAAGTTAAATATAAAACTACAACTTTATAATCAATATTTATTGAATTATTAAAAATGATAAAAATCATTAAGGAAATTCTAAATATTATATTAAATTCAAAGTTTAAAAGAAATTGTATTAATATTTACAATAAATGATAAGTATAGATTAATTTAAAACTTTTTATTCTTAGGTTTTTTTCATTTATATCATAAAAATAATATTATTTATAAGTTTTATAATTTTTAAATTATTATATATAAAAAATTAATCATTTTAATAAAGCATTAGATTTTAATATAAAGTTTTTTGAAATGTCTACCAATTTATTATTGAATTATGAACTAAAAGTATAGATTATAATGAACCAGTAGCAAAAATTCTTATAAAATAAATAACTGCTTATTGAAATTAGAAATATTTATATGATAAAATGTTTGATTTATAAAATAGATTTATTTTCAATTAGTAGAAAAATATTGAATGAAGAAATAATTCTATTTAAAATATTTGATATCAATTTTATCTCAGCAAGTAGTTATTGAAAAGGTTTTTTTTAGTTTTGAGTTGATAATTTAAAAAAGACAAAATCAGTAAGAATATTCATTAATATATTTAATGAATCATTTTTTTTTTAGCTTAGATATAGATCATCTTTTAGATATTTTTAAAATTTATTTCTAATATATTACTAAGATTACTACAGAATTAAATTATATTAACCAGAAGATTATAGATAAGAAAATTGAAAATATTATATTTTAAATCATATATTATATATTTATAAAAATAGATATGTTTGATAATAAATATTTTTAAGATAAATCAAATTTTACTTAACTATATATAGAATTAAATATTAGATTCATCTTTTAGTGAAATAAATTTGTCATAAAGAATTTTTTAATTTTAATGAAGATTTCAATTAAAAAGATTTTTTAAAAATATTGAAAAAATTGAATAAATTAAGCATAAAAATAAAATTTTGATATAAAATCTCTTTTTACAGATATTGAATAAATAGTATTTAGTAAAATTTATAATAATATTTTACAATTTACACATTTGTAATATATTTTTAAAAAAGAAAAATTTTGTGATTTAGATGATATTTATGATTTAAATAAAATTTGTGATATAAATAAAATTTGTAATTTTAATAATATTAATAATTTGCAGAAAATTTAAAAAATTTGAATTTGAGATTTAAAATAATTTTAAATTATTTGAATTTATATTACAGCCTTTAATTAGCTTTAAAATATTTAAGTAATTTTAAAAATAGAATTTTTTTTTATTAAATTAGTTTTTATTAAATATAAATTATAAAGGAATTTTTCTAAAAAATTATTTTAAATGAATTAAATACTTTTTTTACTACTAAGATAAATATATTAACTTATATTTTAGTATTATCTTTTATTATTGGTTAAATATATTAAGATTTTCTTTCAAATTTTTTATATAAAATTTAAAAAAATTTTTAACTATAAAAAAAAAGAAAATATTAATATTGATTTTTTTTAAATAGAATTTTATAAAGTAATAAAGCAATTTGAATTATTTATAAATAAAAATAATTATTTAATTTAATATATCTGTAGATTATCTCTTATTCTCAAAAAAATTTTAAATATATATGAAATTTTATAACTTTTTTTTTTATTTTAACTAATTTTTTATCTTTATTATATATTTATAAAATTTTATTTTCTAAACTTACTAAAAATAATATTTATTATTTAGTGTATATAGTTAATCTTTTTTCATATATTAAAGTTTTTAAAATAAATGAAAAATAAAAATGATTATTTAAAAATAGATAATCACAATTATTGATTAAAAAATTCAAATTAGCTAAAAATCAGATAATTGAATTTAGGTTAAATTTAATATCATTTTAATAAATTTGTCTGATTTCTAATTAGTATAAATTAATACAGATTGATTTAAATTAAATAAAATAATTTAATATAATTCAAAATATAAATTCAACTATAAATTAATAAATTAGCTATAAATTATCTCAATTTAACATTAATTTAAATATAAATATAATTATAAATTAATTTTAATTTAACATAAATTCAAAGCTTAAAATTAATCTTAATTTAATCAAATAAGTATTATAAAAATCAAATTATATTTTATATACTTTATTTAATTTAAACTTTTATTAAATAGAATTTATTTATTATTAGTATTACAAAATGTAAATTATTTATGAATACTAAACTAATAATGAAAATTAAGATTTAATTAAATTTGAACTTGCTAAACAATTTTATTTAAAATATGAATGGCAATTTTCTTAAACTAAAATACCAAAATTTCATCAAAATGATAATAATATGAATTTATATATAAGTTATTTTAAAATTTTAATTATATAAATTATTATTTTAGATTTCTTTAAAATATTTTGCATTTTCTTTTAATTTTAATATAAGAATTTTTGATTTAAATTAATTTATTTATTATTTTAATTTATTTTTATATTTAATTTTATTTAATAAACTATTATATTAATATTAAGTTAAAATTATTTATATTTTATTTTATTTATATTATTTAATACTGTATAAGTAATAATCTGATTTTTTGTAATTTATTTTTGTTTAATAATTATCTATTGATATTTTTTAGTTTTAAAAAATAGTTATGTATTTTAATATAAGTTTTATATTATTATTAATTGCAAAATTATTATTTAATGTAATTTTAATTACTATTTTGATAATGTAAGTTGTTTTAAAAAAAAAACTTTATTATAAAAATTATATTATGTATTGTATATCATTATTAAAAATCATATGATTAATTAAATATTTGTAAAAATAAACTTTAATATTTAAACTTTAAAAGATATATTTCAATTATCTAGTATTTTAAATGTACAGTAATTATTTCTACTAATATCTATTTATTTTATTATTTAAAATAATCCTTCCAATGCGTGATATCAACGGTGGATTTTTGTTCCCAAAATAAGTGGGGTGTAACAATATGTGGATATCCCCGTATATATACATTTTCATTTAAATATTATTATTAATAAATTTATTATTATTATTAATTACTTAATTATATGATCATCTAAATTGTCTTTCTACTCCAACATTACATTATAAAATTCCGCGCTTTTTCATCATCGCTAGAAAATTTGACATATAATTTTCTGCGAAAGATGAAAAATAATACTATTGGAAAAATAAACTGAGTTAGATCATAAACCAAAGTAAATTTTAGACCAAAGCAACATTTTAAGCCTATACTTACTTCGTGTTCAGAGTTATGAAGAGCAATAAAATTATGTGCTAATTCATGACAAAATGTCATAAACCAATAGGTCATAGCATCACTTGTAGGTTTGATTTTACATTCTTCATCATGTAATCCAAGATAAAACTTTAAATTAAAAAACAATGCTTTATCACGATTGAATGCGATTGAACTGGCATTGTTGTCATAGAATACATGAATAGCTTTTGGTGCGAGTTCAAAAACTATTACAAGATCTTGTAGTATCCTCACAAAACGATGCAATGGATCAACACATGACTGATATAACGTTTCCGATTGGCCTTTAGGAACATAAAGCTCAATCCCTTTTAAATTTCCAACAAAATGTAATGAATGACCTAAAAATGATAAAAGAATGAGAAAATTTAACACAATGTACTTAAAATGATATAACATTATATATGGCCCATACCAGGTATGACGTCGCAGTAACTAGTTTGACTTTCGCTGACGATTTTGACACTAGCTTGGCTGTCAATAACACTTCCCGAGTTAGAACGACAAGTTTTAATGGCATCCTGTAATACGTTTCGTAAATCTCGAGTAGTTTTAGGAGTTACGGTGACTGGTTCCATATTTGTAGAAGATTCAATGGGCTTTGACGAAGAAGGCAAAGGTTTTGTTGTACTATTATTACTATTATTGGTATAATCCGATATAGATTTTGTTACTTTATTAAAGAGATTCCACCCAAGTTTTCTCACTCCATAATCATCATCATTATTAGCACCGGTTGATACGACTTGACGAGATTTTGAATCAATTTGCGGATAATCTCCATCGGCAAGTCTATTAGCTACATTATCTAGGTGATTCTCCTTTTCTTGTAAGAGGCATTTTCGAATATAGTCTGGATCACAGTCTGGATATGCTTCTTGTAATTGAGCGACACAGTTCTCCAGCTTAGGAGGGAGTACCGAAGATGAAGGATTGTTTTTTATCGGAGATGCTTCATTTCCTTGGTCACTCATCTTCTTATCATATTTCTCAACAACGCGTTGTAATTTAGGCTGTCGTAATATACGATCAATTGGATACCCCTTGCGTTTTAAACTTGATAAATGTGTAGTTAAAAGCATATTGAGATGAGAAATATCCTTCCATTTGTGTGATTTGTAGATATTTTTGACTATATGTTGAGAAATATCAAGAAAATCTGGATCAGGTGTCACATAAAGAGTCCATGAATCCTTCCGTTTATCTTGAAGGAGACACGTTGTAGTAAACTCTTTCTTGATTTCAGAAGAAGTTGTTAACAAATAATGAGTTTCTATTTGATCGATCTCTCTAACTTTCAGCTTTTTAAGCCATTCTTCACCTTTTTTAATCTCATTTTTAGAATAATCATGATAGAATAAACGAGATCGTTCAATTATAGTTCCTTGTAACTTTCGAGAATTCTCGGTTTCTCGAACATTGCCCATTGGGGTCACAGTTTCTCTCACAGATTCACGTAACGATCTACATCCCAAGTTCTAAAAATTCATTTGTAATATCAGTAAACAAATTATATATATTAATAAACTTCATGAATTCAATATAATAATAGGTGACATACTTTATACAACATTTCCATATAGTCTTCTTCTGGAACCGACAAAGGGTTAAACACTTGTTGATATACTGTATCATCATTTATGAAAATTTCCCTCGCTGAAGCCAAACAATATTGGTCGACTTCTTCGTTACCCAAATCATTCTTATTGACACTATTTCTCTTCCTCACAGCCAACAAAATAGGTGCTTTTCTCATCTCTGAAATCAAACTTTGTTTTTTTGCTATAATACTAAAATTAATGGCAATTCTTCTCAAAACGGTTAAATATTTTTCTACATTATCTCCGATTGAATTCCAAAATTCTTGTGACGATTTCACTAATAATTCAGCAAATTCTATTGGAGACGGTTCGTTTTTGACGCCACAACTTTGAAGAAATTTATTTGCTCTTTCTCCAAAATCAATATACGAAAAGAAATCGTTCAAGCTAAAAATATATGAGATATATATATATATATATATCAAAAATTAAGTTAAATCTAAATTATTTATACTGTAGATAATGAAAAAAAAAGATATATAGTACATACCTTTCTTCTTGACCTTTAAAGAAACAACTACGCGGATTTGTATGAGTAATTATATTAGGTTGAATTTTATCTCGAATTGGAATAAATTTGAGATCAACAAGAGTATTCCAATCAGAATGGACAAAATATCCCTGTCGCGAAGCTAAATATTCGAAAATTCCTTTTGCCTTATTCACATCTTGCGGTGGACCCTCAATAAGTCTATTTATGAGATTTTCTCGACCAGGATGTTGACGGACGCCAAATTGTTCCGCTTGAAATCGTAAATCTTGGTGTACAGCTTGAAATCTCATTATTTCGCATTCAGGGTTAATAAAACACTCTAAAGGTTTTGCGTAAATACTTGGATCCGAACAAGGCAAAAAAGCAATATTAACCTCCGCTGGATTATAACCTTTAGAATATTTTTCTTTAAAATTATCAATAAAATATTTGAGAGCCTTGCTGCGAATTTTAGGGTCAGTAGGAGGTGCTGCCAATTCTAGAATTTTTTTGAGTGAGGGAAATTCTCGTAAACCCAGTTCAATTAAGAATTTTCCTACAAAAATTTTAAATGTTAAGTTCCTAATATGTGAAATATTAGTTAAACCGATCAAACGAACAAAAATACCTTCTTGCGTATTTCGGGCCCACTTTCCTTTCCAATCAAGTAAAGGTAAACCAAATTCACGATGTAATGCTAAAGGTGCATAAAGATCACTAGCAACGAAGCGTTGAATTTTGGGCTTTGGCTTCATTTCTTCAGGTTCACCATTGTTCGGCTGTGAATCTACAAGGTTTTCTTTAGGCCAGATAGGCGTAATCTTTAATCTCTTTGTTTCAATATCTTTAAGGTTATTCGATATCGAGGAAAGGTATTTCGCAAGTTGCATATGATCCCAATTTCCTTGACTAACAAGACGATCAAAAATTAGTTGTAATTCAACGACCTATTGATAAATTTCGAAAAGTTTTTAATATTTAAATATGAAAAGCATATAGTATAAAAATTTATTTACCTTTCGAACACCTAAGAGTTGCATTATATTCTGAACATTTAAGGGTTTTTGGAATTGGATCGTTGGTAAGTCAGGAAAAAGATTAACATTTTGGAAATAAGCCTCGTTAGGTAACTTCATTCCAAATTTAGTTGGAACGCATTTCTTTTGAACAAATAACTGGTAAATTATTTCCTTATCATTTTGCAAAGTATTTTTAAATTGTCTTTCTATAATATTATGAACTTTCTCAGCAAATGCGGGGCTAATTTCTAAATCAGGATGATTAACAATAAACCTTGACCAGGTAACCAAAGACAACCCTGACCATCCAAACGACTTTTCAAGATCCGACCTTTGTAAGTTTTTGGAAATAGAATATGGCAAAACTTCAACAGGCAAATCTACATCAGGTGGAATTATGCTTGGATTCAAATAGTAACGAAACGTGTTTAAAGCTCGCAATTGATCGCCAATACGTACAGTAGCAAGCTGCATGAGCAGTGCAAAATCCGATTGATTAGCAATATTTCCTTTTGAGTTATATGAAGTCCACCATTTCAAAAGCTCAACCGTTTCATCTTCAGAAAGTTTTCGACTTTTCAATTCATATAAAACGTCTTGAATACTCAACTCTTCTATAAGTTTCATCAAATCTTTTGCTTTCTTAAAAAACACATCACATTGTTCCAATATAACTTTTGGAACAACTGGAACTTTTTTTATGAATCCTGCCATCTCCGCATTAGGCATGCGAACATTAGATATCGGAAAGACTCCATTTGTTGACAAAATAGATAATTGTTGTTTCGAGCAACTGAAAAATTGTAATTCCGTTATTCTGCCAACATGCACATTCGGCGTACTGGGTTTGAAAGTGAAGTGCGTTAAAGCATGAGCTGCTCGTTTTTCAAACCATTCTCGAACAGACTTGACATTCTCATCATCAGATACTACATCAGAACCAATCATCTCATTATAAAGCCTTGTTATTTGAGTCATTTCATCTTCATATAAAATTCTACACAATATTCCTGCTATACATAACAACTCGTTGTTATATTTAGCCAAAGTTTTGTCTACCAAGTCGATTGATTCTCGCTCCACCTAAATAAGTATAAATTTTAATATTAAGTTTCATAAAATATTATTACGTGTAACATACACATACAGTAGGAATTACGCGGGCCGCCAAGTGAGAACAGCATCCTGTGGTTTGATGAGTTGGAAAACCAATATATATTCTTCCTTGTTCTGGAAATGGAAGTAAATCTCTAAAGACCGGAGAAATATTCTTATTATAATTCCCGGATGAATTATGTTCATCAAATCCAGTAAATATCATTTGGATAGTTGTTTTATTTGGCGGTTTCTTTTTAGTAATTCGTTCCATCTCTGAAGAAAACCCTTCGTTGACTTTAACATCCAAATTTCCGCTGGCGATTCTAAGAAACATAGACGTCTCTTCTACTTGGTAATCGGTAATTGGTATCGGAAGCCACTGCCTAGTTATTTTATTTGTTGGGACAAGTAATCTCTTAACGTCTAGTTGGACACCTCTAACATCTACTGAGGTAAGATGAAACATCTTTAGTGGAGAAAATGTGTTGAACCCAGATGTGATATTCATCGATCTCGGCTCTTGCATTTTCTTTGACAATCGTATTACTAATATATCATTAAAATACACAGAAATTTCTCGGAGATTTCCTGTAAATCCCTATTATCATTGTTATATTAAATTAACAATGATATTGATATATTGATGATATATGATATGATAAACATTAAAATAAATTTACCAGTGAATTAGCTAAGAATCGTGCGAATTCTTCAACATTTGGAAACTAATTAACGTAAAAAAAAAAAAAAATTTCGCGCGTAATTTGTTAACAAACTTGATGCAATATATATTTTTGTTCATAAGAAATGTAAATAAATCATTACCTCAGCAGGTTCTCTCATGTCCATCAAAAATGTTGTCCAAACCTGGTCTTCATCGCCAATTGGTCCTCGTTTTGCAAATAATTGATCTCCACGCCAATAGAAAGCCATTCCTTGTCCACCGGAAGAAACACTAGTCAAACCAAACACTGATTAGAGCGTTGATCAATTCTAATAGTTTCATTTGAAGTAAATAACTTACAATGGGTTTTCACAGACTGAAAACAACGAATAAAAACCCACCCCGAAAGCTCCTATCTGTTAATATTATAGAAGGAAATTATAAATTTATTCTAACTCGGCAAATGAATCGAAAACGTACTTTTTGTTCATCTGGATTTCCTTCGGCAATTTTCTTTAATCGATTCCAATCTTCGTGTCTAAAAGCGAATCCGTTGTTTTTGAATTGAATTCGTATGACTTTATCTTTTATTATATTTTTATTTGTACTTGGATTTTCTGTTTCAAATATAATATGGACACTTTGTGCCTTTGCATCATCTTTATAAATTATAATTATTAATTAGTCTTGTAGGAAATAAATCGACGTGAAAAATAATGAAAGCTATAATTTCTACCAGAATTCTGCATTAACTCCCGGTACACTACAAATTCAGCAGAGTATCTAAAAAGAACAAAGTTAAAAATGGGCTCACAGAGTTATGTACACAAAAGTATAAACTTTTTAACGTTCAAAAGAATTTACCGTGCCAAAATCTTGTCAATCAAATGCCTTTGATTGACCTCAACTCGTTCTTCACCATCTGAATTCGAAAGAACCTGTTTTCTAAAAGCGTCTAGGGACATAGGAAATTACTATAAATATAAAAGAATAAAGAAATTAACGAATTGCTTCATTGAAATTTGATCTATTTATATATAGAAATTTAATATTCAATTCTGGAAATTTTCCAACCCATTTATCAGGTGACGAAAGATCGTCAAAATGCATTTGTGTTAACAAACAAAAAATACGGGAGACCAGCAATCTCAACTAGAACTTTCAATGTAGGAAAGAACCAATCGAGGCCAGTCTATATCCCGCCAAATATTTGGTGAACCTCATATACTTGCGTATATGTGGATAAGGTATCACCCAAATCCTATATTATCCTTACTCATTAATTTGAGGCAACATAATAGTTGTTGATAAGTTTATATACCCCTAAAAAAATCGGTTGGATCAAATTATGGGATTTGCGGATCATATAAAATGAATTGAGTTGTTTTTTTTATTATATATCATTAAAATATCATTAAAAATTTATTTTAAAGATTTAATGTTTCTTTATTAATTCTGATTTTATTATTATAATAATAATTAAATTAAAAAAATAAAATAGAATAATTATTAAATAAAAGAATTTATTTTATTAATAATAAGATAAATTTGCTTATATAATATATTTATTTTATAAAATTTATAAAATAAAATAATATCATTTAACATTATAATAATAATTTATTAAATTAATATTATAATTGATATTATGATAATATTATTATATTATCTTTAAAGATATTATATAGTATCTCTATAGAATTATTAATTATATATCACTATATTATAATAAAAATCATAATATTATTATAAAATTTAAAGATACTATTATAATATATAATTATAGTTGATTGTAATTAATAAATTAATTATCACTTAATTTTTAAAAATACTATAATTAATTATAATATAATAATGCTTATTTATTATCAATTGTAAATAGTTGTAATTATAACTTTAATAAAAATACATAATTAGTAAATTTATAAAAATATTTTCTTTTAAATAATAAGGATTTTTATTATAATTTTAAATTAATTTATAAAATTTTATATAATAACCTATAAATGTTATATAATTTATTAAAATTATTAAACTTTATTTTTAATAATTATATTATTAAATAAATATATAATTTTTAATTTTACACTTATCAAATAGTTCAAATCAATTAGAAATTAAATGTTTACTTTAGACTGATTTTGATACTATTTACAGCTGATTAGTCATATTTTCTAATTATTCAAATTGCTACTGATCACTACTGATTAACTTCAATCAGTCATAACTATTTAATATTAATTTAGAACTTAAATTTAACCATAAATTAGCCTAAAATATCACTAATCATCCTAATTTAACAAAGAAATTCAGCATCAATTCAGAACTTAAACAATTTAAATCAGCTTAAAATACTACTGATTGACTCTAATCAGACAAGCAATTTAATATTAATTTAGAATTTAAACAATTATATCTATCTAAATACTACTAATCAACTTTAATCAAACAAGTAATTTAGCATTAATTTGAAACTTAATTACCTATAAATTAGCCTAAAATTGACTTTAATTCAGTATCAATTCAATCAATATAAGTATATAAAACAATACATTTTATTTATTAAATTTATTATTTATTAATAAAAAAATCTAATATAAATTTGTAAAATTATAATAAAATATTGTTAAATTTATTGATTAATTTTCTATTAAAAAATAAGCAAAAAAATAATAAAATAATAATATAATAATAAAGATAATTTATTTTCTTTTAAAATTCCTTAAAATTATTTTAAATATTTATCACTATCCTTTAGATTGTAGAGGTTTGCAGGCAAATTTGCCTGCTTATTTACTACAAATTCCCTTCTGATTTACTTTTATGAAAAA